ATCATCATCATCATAATCATCATCATCATCATCATCATCATCATCATGATCAGCATCATCATCAGCATCATCGCCATCATCATCATCATCATCATCATCATCATCATCATCACAAGCATCATCATCATCGTCATCATCAGCATCAGCATCAGCATCAGCATCAGCATCAGCATCAGCATCAACATCATCATCATCATCATCATCATCATCATCATCATCATCATCATCATCATCATCATTATCATCATGAGCATCATGAGCATCATGAGCATCATCACCAGCGTCAGCATCATCGGCGTCGTCGTCATCGTCGTCCCCACCACCAGTGCGGCAGCGTGACGGGGTGGGGGTGGGGGGGGCGACGGTAGTGGCTGCGCGACGGCGACCAGGGCCCCCCCTCCGCACACCGCCCCAACAAGGCCGCGATGAGCGCGCGACGACGCGGAGCGCGCGGACCACTCGAACTCGCGCACCTGCGGCAGCGCGCGCGCGCCAGCGCCAGCGGCAACACCCGCCAACCGCGGGCACGGCCGCCTTCTTCGAGCAGGGGGCCGACTACATACGTAATCGATGTGCACCAAGCCTGATGTCCCATCGAGTCTACGAAACATACCTGAAGTGCTCCGTAGATCTACTGGCTACTCTGCGTATTCTTCTCATGGGCTCGACGAAAAAATGAGTTCGGGGGCGCATCAATTGTGTAGTCGATCCCCGACTCGACTTCTCCGCGGGGTCCCAGCGTGCCCTCCGGCGGCGCGCGACGGACCCCTACGGCGGCGCGCGACGGGCCTTCCAGCGGCGCGCGGCGCCGCAGGGCACGTCGCTCTCCTCCCGAGCAGTCTTCTTGGGCGGCCCCGGGGCCACCAGCGCCCCCCCGCGCCGAGGGGGTGCGGTCTCCGCCGGCCACGGCGGCAGCGCCAGCCCGAGCCGCGAGGGCCCTGCTCTGCAGCGGCAGCCCGAGCCGCGAGGGCCCTGCTGGGCGGCACGCGGCCATGCAAGCTGGCAGGCCCGGGCTCGAACGGCGACCGCGGCCACTCGCGGAGCCCGAAAGCCGGCGCGTCTCCACCGAGACTTGGGCGCTGCAAAGTGTTTCCGCACCTGGCGTTTTCGCCCATCACGGATCGATCCAAGTCGAAACGTGCGGCAGACCGATGGGGTATGGAGCTCCAGTCGTGTTCTTTTTTTGCGATTTTGCAATTTCTCGTAACGTGGGGGCTTCGGGTCGGAACCGTTCCGTTCCACTGGGAGCGCCCGTGGAGGCCCGCAGCCCGAGCGAGCCCAGAGCACACAGTGTGGCCAGGCCCTGCCGCCGGCAGCCCTCTTGGCCCAGGCGCCGACCGAGCCCGCTTCGCGCCGTGGCCCCGCCCCATGTGGGAGGGCGCAGCGGGGTGGCGGAGGAGGAGGAGGAGGAGGAGGAGGAGGAGGAGGAGGAGGAGGAGGGAGGAGGAGGAGGAGGAGGAGGACGACGAATGGGAATGGGAATGGGATCGGTGACGACGTCATGAATATATGTATATATACACAAACAAATAAACTAGCCCCTGGCGAAAACTTTGGGCCGCAACCCTCGTTTAAAACGGTGTCTGGGCGCACGACCTACCTTCTCCAATATGAAACAGGGAAAAGTGAGCCAGGATGTCCTGGCTGCGGCGGCAGCCGAACACCTACACCCCGCACGCTGCAAGCTTCCTGCTCAACTGATGGACGCTAGTGAAAAAGGGCAACAGCAGCAGCAGCGGGGGGAGGCGGGGGAGCATCAACAACATGCACGGGTTCACTGCCCCAAGTTTTTCCATCCTCCTTAGACGACTGGAAGCTTCCAAAGCGGCCGATGCGGATCTCAATAGTCTGCGACGGACGAGCCTTGCTGTGTGTTCGGCTTCCACCACCTTTGTCAGCTCAGCTGCAGAAGCCCTGGCGAGGCGCGAAGCCTCTCCCGCAATGACATCCGGCGCCTCGTTACCTGCAATCATCCAGTAGGGGAAGCGCGAGCGCCCGTCAAGGACGTTGACATGTGACGCCACTTTTAACACCACCACGGGACCGATGCGAGTCTTCAACAACTGACCAATAAATCCCCAAACGCTTCCGAGCTCACCGTAGGGTGGTCATCGTTCCTGGAACTCCCCCCCATGGAAACCTCTTCGCTGTCCGTGATATAAACCAGATCTCCCTCGGAAAACAAGATCGAAATCTCGAGAGCAACCAACTCCCCCCGCGGAACAGACTGAGGCCTGCCTGCAAGGGGTCCGTAAACAATGGGACCCATAACCAAAGGCACGAATGAAGTAGCTGCACGCACTGCAAGCCCTACTCTCCGAAGCCTCTCGTCTGCTCCCTCCTTCCCAGCCGAAGCATCACCAAAAACAGAAAGAGCCTCTGGCGTGCTCTTATCCAGGGGTCCTGCCTCCAGCTGCTCCGTGAGAAGATCTGCGAAGCGCCGGCTTTCCTCCGCTGGCGGGGAGGTGACCAGCGTCCACGCAGCTGGCAGTGGCCCTCGATGCCAGAAGCATGCCTCCCAATAGCTCGTGGAAAAAAGGCGTTCGACCCAGTGAAAGCTGGATGGGGGGCATTGCTAGAATACAACCAATGACGATGTTCGGGGGTCTCGGGGGTGTCCTCTCTTCCCTCCAGCTTGCATCTGGGGCATGCATTCGAAGTGACGTATCCTGTTTGAAATTTGTGGTCCTGCAGCCAGCACCCCCCGGTGGCGATGCAGACGAGAGTCGCCGCGAGCTGCCCGCCGTGCTTTGCCCCCTCGAGCTGTCGCGCCAGCGCGCGAACCGAGAGGTTATCTACGCCTCCCGCAATACCTGTCCCGCAGAAATCAGATTCGGCTGCTGCCCGCTGCTGAAGCTCGAGAGTCCCCTGGAACTCCTCGAGCAACCCTGTAGCTTCATCAACAGACTCCAAAACCGCAACAGGAAACGCCCACTGAAAACGGTGAAACCCCCAGACAACTCGCGATCAATGGGCCCCCTTCCAACCGTTCGGTGCAAAGCGAGCCCAACCAACTCCCAAAAAATGAATTATGACGGCCGGCAACGGGCCTCGAATGTGCCTTGATCTTCTGTTAGGGGGTAAAGCTTCAAGGCCCCTACGAACGGCCCGCAAAACTTCGAACGCCCCAGCGTGGGAAGAAGGAAGAAGCATCCAACAATCGAGCCAGGCACGAATGCAAGCAATCGGGGGCGCGATGCCCGGGCCACGCTTGGGCGCGCGGATGTCCGACGAAGTCGCGAGGCACTTGCCTCGCTTGCCCGAGCCCGAGACTGCGCCCGCCCGCTTCCGCAATCTCTGAAGCGGCCCCCAAAAAACTCCACATATATCCATCCCATAATTCGAACGAGCCCGCGGCCCCGCTAGCTCGTCTTCTGGGCGATCAGATGCCTGCGCGCTGCTCTGGCGTAGCCCTTGAGCTCGCGATGCTGAGTCGCCCCCTCGACTGCCCCCTGCAGCCTGGCCACCCTCGCCCGCCCCCCCCCCCCCCCCCCAGTCAACGCCCCGACGCGGAGCCTGAAGGCCCGCCGGGATCTTGACTCCACGGCGTTCCAGGCGAGAAGCGATCTGCTCGGCGACCGAGCGCACCGAGCTTAAAACCACACTCTTGCCAGCAAGCTGCAAGCTGCAAGCCTGCGTCTCGGCGGACGCAGTCTGGGCGACATCGACCGTCGACTTGATCGCGGACATCGTGGACCCTAAAACCTGGAGCATCAAATCGTGGACCCAGATCCTTCCAGTAGCTGACGCTGGGGCCTGGGGCATTTTTTCTGACATAAAACAAATGAGACATCAAGCGAAACGAAAGCCATTGCGAAGCCCCTGGGCGATCGACTTGGCTGGCTGAAGCGCGATGCTGTTGATCCCGTTCTGGCTCAAAATACGAGGCACCATGCATTGCTGCAGTTCTAATGCCAGAGTGACTGCTGGGGGCCTAACCTCAATGCCGCATCCGCCAGGATATCCCATCGGATAGAATCGTAAAATCCTTCGATGCCGAAAATAGCTTGAGCGACGGAAATATCTAAACGCCGGCAAACCTCGGCACCCAGGACCCTGTGGAAGGCTTACCGCGGAGCCGCACTGCCCGAGGTAGCCGCGTCCCAAGCTGGTGTAGTCTGCCGCGACCACTGCTTAGAAATGCTGTCGCGGGCAAGCGACCAAAGACGGCCGACCGTGCACATCAGACCAATCACCTTGTCCGCGCCCGGCCTCATCGCCAATGGCCTCCCCAGCGCCGCCAGCAGCTGCCGCGGCCACGTGAGCGCATGCTCACGCGCAGTACACAAATCACATCAAGACTAGACACGATACCGGGCAGCCGCTCGAAAACGAGCGGGGTGAAATGACCCGGGCCAAGGCCAGCCGAAGGTCGCGTCTTCTTGGGGGCCCCGCGGAGGTCCCGAACAGTTCAATCAAGCAGATCCTCGGCGGGGGCCGCCTCTCTCATTTTCCTGGGAAACATCCAAATCGTGGTCCTGAGGAACAGGCTGGCTATAGCCCGCAACTGAGGATATTTCTCGGCCTCGGCGTCGATCGCATCTCTCGGGGGAAGAAGAACATGCCCGCGATAGTGAATATCGACGGTATTGTCACCACCCTCCTGCACATCGTGCTCGGGACCGTCGGGTCGGACCCCTTGTCCGAGGCGAAGACTGCACCCCGCAGTCATGGTGACGAACATCAAATTTCTTGGGAAGAAGTGACACTACTGGTCCCTGGTGGCAAGGTAGTGGACGACTCTGAAGACATATTGCTTGAGGACGACTCCGACGACATATTGCTTGGAGGGGGAGTCTATCGACGTGGGGGCAAGAGCGCGGCCAAGGCGACGAAGGGGCGTCGTGATGTCGCGGACCTTGCCAACCAGGTGACTCAGATCACCACAGTTTTGAACAAATTGACGGAGAAGATGGGAGTGGAGTCTCAGGTCGCTGTGGGGAAGCCGCCAAAGAGACGCACGCCCAAGAGTACACAAGCACCTCCAACACTTCAGAAGATCCGCGAGTACCTGAAGTACATGAGGGTCAACAACGTGAAGGTCACAGAGGAGCAAGTGCAGGACAAGCTGCGCAGCTTACTCACGCGCACCACGGCAGCATCGACGTGGTTGAATGGGGGACCTGCCGCCGAGAAGGCACAGGACACAAAGTTGGTCGTACATTCCCAGCCGTGGGGCACGGCGAAGATTGTCAAGGCCGCTAATATCAGGACGACGACACTAGATGGCCCTGCCGTCATCACGTGCCAGTCGGCCACGGAGTACGAGCAGGCAACACAGTGGCTCGGATCCATCAAAGAGCAGCCCAGCGGGATGACGTTCATTGTCTTCAATGCGCCGTCGATTTTGACTGGAGCTACCACCACCGAGGTTATGTGTGAGACATCTGTTGGGGTCAGACCACACACAGCCCAGATGATCACGACGGGGACCTCACCACCGACACGCCAAGGGCTACCTACAGGCTTGAAGGACGATGAGGCCTCGACAGCACCACCCTTGGCCACGGCAGCCCTGCGGCTCACTATTGCAGAGGCTTTCGCTGACGATGCTACGTACGCAACGGTCAAGGAGAAACCAGTGGCAATGGCGACAGTACTATTTCCTCAAGTACTGGCGGCCAAGATTTTGAAAGTAAAGGGTGCAGTCAACTACCAGACGGAGTCGACGGCGATTATCCTTGTGCGAGAGAACGATACGGAGGCATTTTTGAAGTGGACGGCCCCGTCAGGGGTATTTTTGAATCGACAAGCGAGTAAGCTGGTGCCAGTCTGGCACAAACTACGGGACGGCGAGAACACGATGACGTACCTCACCAGGGTGACAGCTGCGGCAGCACAGGTCGAGGGCAGATTGGTGTACCGCCCGTCAGATAACGCATCTTTGGGAATTCTATCTCAGAAGTCAATGGCAGCCGACATCCAACCTCGATGGTATTTGCAGAAGTGCCCAGAGCACTGGTCGTCACCACAGGAGGTCGAGGAGTGGGCCAAGGCCAGAGGTTTCCAGAACATCGACGGTATCACACGATCGAGTAAAAGAGCCTGGTTTCTACGAGCTGACCTTGATGGTTTGGTCAAGGATCAAGTATGCACATTCAAGTCGGGGATCATAGCTAGCCTAGCTGTGCCTCGCAGGACATCATCAAGACCGCCCCCGCAGGCCAAAGGAGCATCAGCGTGGGGGACTCCAGCGCCGGCAAGAACTCCGATGCAGGAGGCGACGGCGGAGGTGAAAGCAGAAGTACATGACAAGGATGGCGACGTGGACATGGAGAAGGCGGAGGAGGGCGATCAGAAGCGACCGCCGAAGCCAGGCCCAGCTGCAGCAGCCTCAGCAGCAGCAGCAGCTCCAACTCAAGCTCCACAGGCGCCTACGAGGCCTCCATGGGAGGCATACTTTACTGAGAAGTGCTGCGGGGGAGATGGAGATTGCTTTTTCCTGACGGCCTCCCACGGCATACGAGCGAATCAATCCAAGCCAAAGCAGATGGCAGAGAAGGAGATGGGCCCTGGTGGTGCACTCCAGGCCAACCTGCGCATGATCGTGTCCGCCAGCATGACGGACAACAAACGCTATCCCCAGGACGAGGCCCGCAAGGCAGCCAAGACTGGGGAATGGGCCACATCGGCCATGGTGAGAGCGGCAGCGGTCACCACGAAGACGAATTTCGCTATCTGGAAAAAGTCCCGCACTGGAACATGGACCTTGTATACCGCCCCAGCGGACATCAAGACCAAGCAGGTAGTGTGGGCCACGTTGGTGGACAAGCACTACAAACTTCTTCTCCCAAAGGCGGGTGTTGACCTACCCCAGGAGATTTTGACAAGATGGACGACTGCGGCATTCCCATATCCAGCACGATTTACAGGAGGAGGAACGGGCAGCGAACCACACACACCATCAGCGCGAGCTCCGTCGATCAGAGGAGCACGCAGCATGCTGGGACTCAGCCCAGCATCGACCAAGAAGACAGCGAGAGCTTTGAATGCAGCCAGGAGTGTGCTGGGTCTCAGTCAGTCGGGGCGTTCTAAGACCTCGAAGGCGACGGCCAAGGCATCCTCGAAGCCGACGGCTAAACGCCTGGCACGCGCCAGGAGCATTCTGGGATTATCAGTCGGTGATGAGGATGTCGATGACCCTCTGCCTGATCATGATCTACCAGCATGCCGTCCTGAGCGCTACAACTATTATTTTTGTGACTGCGGGTGGAAACCCGATGGAGCGCATGCACCCTGTCACGTTCTACAACAAGCACGAGTACACTGGCGTGCCTGCAAGGGCACACCACCGCCCAAGGAGCCACCCGAGAACAGGGCAGCACGGCTGAGGGCGGTGACCAGCTTATCATACATGGACAAAGGAAAGCGGGACAAAGCCTGGAGAAGGTACACTGCATGGTACCAGTCTCTACCTGAAGATGTGAAGCCCAGCGTCTGCCAGATCAC